TGCCCACTCCCAAAATGGCTGCCTTCCCCACACCCAAGATGGCTGCTTTGCCATACTCTTTGGTGTCTCCAGCATCTAGGCTACGGTAGGCCTCGCCACTGAGGATTGGCGTGAATTGTATCTGTTGCTGTTCCAAGATGGCTGCCTTGTCTGCTCCCAAGATGGCCGCTTTATCTGTTCCCAGGATGGCAGCTTTCCCATAATCCTTAGCATCTCCAGTCTCTAGGCTACGGTAGGCCTCGCTGCTGAGGCTGGGCATAAATGGGGTCACTTGCTCTCCCATGAGGGCTGCCTTATCATAACCCTTGGCATCTCTGGGATCCAGGCTCCGGTAGACCTCACCACTGAGGGCTGGTGTGTGATGGGTCAACTGCTCTCCTAAGATGGCCGCCTTGTCCATCCCCAAGATGGCTGCTTTGTCCATTCCCAAGATGGCCGCCTTGTCCATCCCCAAGATGGCTTCCTTCCCCATCCCCAAGATGGCTGCTTTGTCCATTCCCAAGATGGCCGCCTTGTCCATCCCCAAGATGGCTTCCTTCTCCACTCCCAAGATGGCTGCCCTATCCACCCCCAAAATGGCAGCTTTCCCATAGTCCTTGGCCTCCCCTGTCCCCAGGCTGCGGTAGGCCTCGCTGCTGAGGGTTGGCGTGAGTCGTGTTAATGGTTCTCCCAACATGGCCACCTTGTCCACTCCCAAAATGGCTGCCCTATCTACTCCCAAGAGGGCAGCCTTCCCATAATCTTTGGCATCCTCTAGGCTGCGATAGACATCGCTGCTAAGGGTTGGTGTGAGTCGCATCAACTGTTCTCCCAAGATGCCTGCTTTGTCCACTCCCAAAATGGCTGCCCTGTCCACCCCCAAAATGGCAGCCTTCCCATAATCCTTGGCGTCACCGGCCTCTAGGCTGCGATAGGCCTCCGTGCTGAGTGTTGGCGTGAGTCGCGCTAGTGGCTCTCCCAAGATGGCTGCCCTCTCTGCTCCCAAGATGGCTGCCTTCATCTTCCCATAATCCTTGGTGTCCCCGGCCCGCGGGCTGCTGAAGGCTTCGCCCCCGAGGGCTGGCGTGAGTCGTGCCAAGCGCTCCCCTCGGGGCCAGGGGCAGGTGTCGGCTGCTTGCCCAAAAAGGGCGCTGTTATCTGGCAGCGCTGGGCTCTCCCAGGGGGGGATGACCTCCAAGGGCGACCGCTGTCCCCACCAGCACTGGGGGGTCTCCTCGGGCCGGGCCTGCTGAGGAGCCGCCCACCTCAGCAGCTCCCCGATGGTCCCAGCCTGCACCAGCCAAGGTGCCTTACTGGCTGCCTCCCACTCCCAGCCTGGCTCGGGGACGAGTGGTTCAGGCTCCTCCATTTTCACACGCGGTGCCACCGTCTCCTCCAGTGGGTACAGGAAATGGAGGCCCAGGGCGGGGGGCGGCACCTCTTGAGTGGCAGCCATTTTGTGAGCTCAGTGAGGTGCTGGCTGACTTCGAGGCTTGGTCCCCAATGGCGACTCCCTGGTAGCCTGCTGGGAAGCTCCTGGCCACTGGCCACGTCCCCACGGGGCTGTGCCGAGGTCCCTAGCTGGGTACTCGATCCCACTGCTGACACCACCTGGCCCGGATAAGATGATCTGGGGTCCTGCGAGGGGCACGCCAGCTCTTCCTGCGGCGTAAAGGAGAAAAACAGAATGAATGAGGAGGGGAGAGATGGGAGGACAGGGAAAGAACCAAGTTTCTGGCCCTTGTAAAAAGAGCAAAGCGGGAGCCACAAGGGCCAAGAAAAAGCCACAGTGGTGGGTTAGTTAAATCACATCCTGGCCACTTAGCTCCACAGACGAGGCCAAAACCAGGGCTGGGGACAAACCGGGGGGAGCCTGTGCAGGGCCAGGGAGCCTCCAGGCGGTAGGGACGGCAGTGCCCGCTCCCAGCCCCCCTCTACCACATCAGAGCCCACTTCCTTCCCAGAGGGCCCAGGAGTCCTGGCTCCCAGAACCCTCTGCTCTAACCACTAGACCACACACCCCTCCCAGAGTTGGAGAAGAGAACCCAGCACTCCTGACTCCAAGACCGGCCCCCCCCCCCGCG